CCACGTTACTAATGAGTATTTCTCATTATTAGTCAAATACCTTTTATATTGTCTGGAGTAAGGCAGCCCCCCCCCCCCCCCCCCAACCTATTGTGACCAATTGTCTGCTTAAAAGTCTGCGTTAGATCCAAATAGTTGAGATTACCCTCCCCCCTCCAAGGTCTAACAGCTTCTATATATCCTCTTTAGCTCTGAGCTTGTTCTTATAAAGCTCTGAGCTTGCCGAGAAGAGGTCGTGCCGTGTGCTGTACTCGTGGCGCCATCGTCTGCTACTAGACCCGCACCACGTGCCCTCATTAGCCAGTGGTTTCGTTCGGTGGAGCGGAGGCACGCGCCGACAAGCACCTCAACATCCGGGAGACGCCCCGTCAAATGGCCGGGAAGGGCGTTACTCCAGGGGAGAGCACTGAAGGGGGTTTCAGAAAGGGGGAGAAGCGAGTAACAAAGGGTAATTTAATCTCTAATTAAACAGTCGCTATCGACGTGAGACAAGAGGCTTGTGAAAGCTGGGACTGTCAGAAGCTGTGGAGAAAATGTGTGTACATGTCCTCATAAACTCGCTGATACTTAAAAAAAAGGTTTAAATCAGAACGGGGTATTGTTTTGCTTTTCATATTTTGCGATTCATATTTACTCCTTGCAAATAATTGCGTGCTAGTTATGGATGCCGTAACAACAATTGATTACATATATCGTGATGCAAGCACGTGAGATTATACGCGCTTACTGCTGCAAGAATAAAAGCCGTATTAAGGATTTTGTGTGAGCATGGGACTGCGTTGTGTTGTGAGGTGTAACTGGAGGTTGTGACGTCAGATGGAGCACGGTGTTGTGACGTCAGATGGAGCAGGGTGTTGTGACGTCAGATGGAGCAGGGTTTTAAGACGTTACTGTGTAAGATGTAGATTAAGAATCGTCAAACAAATTTAAGAGAATGTATTTTCGTTAGATCAATACCCTTGAAATATGTTGATCTGTTTGGTGATATTTGTTTACTGCGTGTAAGATATCCCAATATTGTGACGATTATGGTTACATAACTATCTGTATGTCATCCAAATTTCATGCTGATACCCTCTCTCATCCCTGCACTGTGTAAAATTAAATCGTTAGCATCACTCAAATCCAAACATGGAACAGTTACCCCCCCCCCCCCCCACACACACACACACACAACACTCCCGTCCACCCCACCCCCCACTCAACATGAGGACGATCATCCCCAGCAATTAGAACAAATCTTCAGCGAGCTCATCCCCTACCCCCGGGGAGTCAGGCTTTACCTGCAGGATTGTATTTACTGCCAGAGATGAAATCCTCATCGGTTCGGCTTTAGCTTTAAGGTATGAAGCAGTAGCGTACGCAGGGGGGGGGGGGGGGAGCAGGGGGAGCGGCCGCTCCCCCTCTGGCCATTTTCATCAAAGTGGCGCCTTTTTGGAAACTTTTTAAACTCAAAGTTTTAAACAATGATATTTGTTAAAAAAATATTTTTGGTCGGCACATCTATGTAAATCACAAGATTTCTTTTCATGCAGCAATTAAGCATTATTGTACTAGTCTAGTAGTGTCTACGTTTACAACACGTATTAACAGCTGCATCAGTTTGCCATTCTAAAAATAACCATTACGATGCATTGCAATGTTTAAAAAACCTCTACGGGTAGTACCACTTGGCAAGAGGGTTATTAAGTTTAAGGCAACTGTATAATGTATTTGCTTACGAATAATTGAATTAGAAAATGTTATACATAAAACTTCACACATAACTACTTTATATATACAGTTTGAATCGTGTGATTAATTTAAAAAGAAATCACAATACAGAAACAAATACAACTGATGTGGCACCTCTATTTAAATTCACTGATGAGCAAACTGCGTAGTGGTGGGGAAATTTCGACAAGGTCAACGTCATCACAATGAAGTAGTAGTATTCTTACAGTTTGGGCGATAGTGATTACGATTACAAATTATATGAAACAGTTACAATCCCCCTCCCCCATGGACCCCTCTGTAAAAAAAAATATTGTCATAATACCACTGCTACTTATTTAAATTAATGTCACACCTAGGTATACACTGGGTTGGATAATTGACCTAAAGTGACCGGACAGTGGTGAATGAAGTTGAACCCCCCCCCCCCCCCCCCCCAACGCACCCCGAACTGATCTGTTAAGTACATGTAGAAAAACGCGTAGTGATGTACCAAAGTACCATGCCGCAAAAAAAATAGCTTTTTAAACGTAAAACTGTGAATATTGTTTTTGCAATTACCAGTAAAAAGGTGTGTGATCAATACAGTGATCTAACCCCTACCTATCACTATGTTAAAAAATTATCTTTAAAGAACACAAAGAAGCAGTAGTTATTTAAAAATATATGATCTGAACTAAAAGACCGATATTTAGTTAAATGTAGGTTTTTATTCCGAATGTTCTACTATTACATCGAAAAGCGTGACTTTATACCAACTCTGATTTTAAAAACTTTCATTATGTTGTAAAACTTTAGCATTTATGATGACGATATATTAAATTATGATTATAGAAAAAAACATTTTGTAAACACGATTAGTGTTAAACAATTTGATTATATTCTAAAGTAATTATTTATTTGTTTTGACATTTATAATTAAATGTGTAGATATATACATATTTATATTAAGAGAGTGATTATTTCCCCTATTTCACTTGTCTTAAATAATTTCCGAGGAATTATTATGTAAGAAATTTGTTTACAAGAATTACAAAACAGATTGTGTTATGTTCATTGTTTTTTCTTGTAGTGTGTGTATATTTTTTTTTGTTTAGATTGATACAATTTTTGTTTTGTCGGCCTACATTGTATGTTTTTTCTTATTTCTTCAGAGTGCTACTTTCAATTTATTTTACATTATAGCGAAGTAATGACATACAGCTAGTAATTATATATATATATATATATATATATATATATATATATATATATATATATATATATATATATATATATATATATATATATATTACACGTATATAGAACGTGTTAAAAATTCGGCGCCTTTTTTTGCTCTTTTCGCTCCCCCTACAACGAAAACCTGGATACGCCTCTGGTATGAAGTCTTGTCATGTGCCCATTTCTTGCTAATGTGTGCTTTTGTTAATACTTTTGTTTTTGTTAACTTTCGTAGTTTTTTTGTTTTTTTTTTGTACTTCTGCTAGAGTGTTTTATGTTTTATTTTTCATTTTAAAAATCTTTCGACAGTGTGTCAATTGTCACTTTTTGTCACTTGGTGTGACAGTGTTTTTAGTCACGTGACTGTCTCTTGACGTCTGCTCAACAAAAAGGATTAACCGACACATGTGCTCCATTTGTGACGTGTCAACCTAAGGTCACTAGAGGTCACCTGCTGTCTCGTCATCACACGGATATTGCCGGTCACCGGTTTGATGGGATATTATTGCAGCTACCATTTGTATTTACTTTTACCTTACCAACGGAGTATAATACAAGTGGCCAATGTATTAGCAGAAGGACCAATGTCCTAACAGTACTAAGGTCCTAGTAGAAGGACCAATGTCCCAACAGTACTAAGGTCCTAGTAGAAGGACCAATGTCCTAACAGTACTAAGGTCCTAACCGAAGGACCAATGTCCTAAATGTCCTAACACTACAAAGGCCCTAACAGACAATCTAGAAGAAAGTTACCTATTTCATCTTGAATTAACCTGTTTATAAAAACTATAACAGGAACCTTGAAATGAAACGTAACTTGAAGAAAACATGAACACGGGTCGTGCTAGGACCCGGGGCCGTGGGTCACCAGTTCATGTCGGTGCTGCTAATCTTAGTCCGTCCTACACCATGAGATTTGGATTACGGGATTAAGGCCCGGCTCAGTTGACGTCACACACCGCGTAGGTTTGACAGGAAACGGGAGAAGACTTTTATAATCTATCTAAGATCTGATCAATCAAGGGGGGGGGGGGTGGGTGGAGGATCTACGGTAAGGATTGGGGTTCGGAGATTAAACTTGAGGGTTTTTTTCTAGCCTGTCGCAACTTTTTATTTGTGTTGTTGACATATTTAACTTTTTGTTGGGATGATGTGACAATCATCATGTGCTTGCGATAATGTGACAATCATCATGTGTTTGGGATGATGTGACAATCATCATGTGTTTGGGATGATGTGACAATCATCATGTGTTTGGGATGATGTGACAATCATCATGTGCTTGGGATGATGTGACAATCATCATGTGTTTGGGATGATGTGACAATCATCATGTGTTTGGGATGATGTCACAATCATGATGTGTTTGGGATGATGTGACAATCATCATGTGCTTGGGATGATGTGACAATCATCATGTGGTTAGGATGATGTGACAATCATCATGTGCTTGGGATGATGTGACAATCATCATGTGGTTGGGATGATGTGACAATCATCATGTGTTTGGGATGATGTGACAATCATCATGTGCTTGGGATGATGTGACAATCATCATGTGGTTAGGATGATGTGACAATCATCATGTGCTTGGGATGATGTGACAATCATCATGTGCTTGGGATGATGTGACAATCATCATGTGTTTGGGATGATGTGACAATCATCATGTGTTTGGGATGATGTGACAATCAACATGTGCTTGGGATGATGTGACAAGTATCTCGCGGTGTACGTGATGTTGTCACGTATAAGGCTGGAATGGTGTGAGAAGTATCACGTGACAGGTGTAGTGTGACGTGTGGTAGTGATAGATGAGTTTCTGGTGTGATGTTTGTGTTTGTGATGCTTCTGTTTGTGATGGTTGTCACTGAGAAGTGATAGGTGATGGGTGTGACACAGGGTACTAGTTGTTGACGTTGATAGTTGGTTGTGTGGCAGTTGTTGGTCTGGAAGATGCTGATGTGGTCGTCGTTTTAGTCGTTGTTGTTCTTGTTATTGCTGTTGTAGTTATTGGTGCTGTAGTTGTTGGCGTTGTAACTGCTGGTGATGCAGTGGATAGTGTTTTAATTATTGAAGTAGCAATTCTTGTAGCTGTTGGTGTTGTAGTTGTTGATGTTATAGTTGTTGATGTTGTAGTTGTTGGCATTGAAGTTGTTAGTGCAGTAGTTGTTGGTGTTGTAGTTGTTGGTGTTGTAGTTGTTGGTGATGTAGTTGTTGATGCTGTAGTTGTTGATGTTGTAGCTGTTGGTGTTGTAACTGCTGGTGTTGCAGTGGTTAGTGTTGTAATTATTGTGGTTGCAGTTCTTGTAGTTGTTGGTGATATTTGCATGTGTTGTAGTTGTTACAGTTGTATATATTAATGTTGTAGTTCGTATTGCTGCAGTTATTGCTATTATAGTTGTTGGTGTTGTAGTTGTTGTTGTTTGTGATGTAGTTATAGATGTTGTAGTTGTTGCTGTTGTAGCTGTTGTTGTTGTTTGTGATGTAGTTATAGATGTTGTAGTTGTTGGTGTTGTAGTTGTTGTTGTTGGTGGTGGTGCTGTAGTTATTGGTGCTGTGGTTGTTGGTGGTGGTGCTGTTTACTGTGAGTTCTGTCGGTGACAGCGTGTAACGTGTGACACATACTGTGACAACTCCCACGACAACGATTGTGTTGACGAATCATTGTGTAGCATTTTATAAGCTCATGATTATGTGAACAACGAGGACTTGAAACAGAAAAACAAACCGTTTTTATCCGCAGCCGCACTTTAAATTTGTTTTCCTTTAAAATCATGTTCGAGTTTTTATATAACAAAAATGTTTTATTTTCTCAAACAAACAACTTGTTCTGGGAACAACAAAAAAATGAATTTTAAAATAATTTGACCTTGAAAATGTTTACTGCAATCGTCTGCGGATGGTCTACATTTCCAGTCGGTATCCAGTGAGTAATAGCATGGCATCACTCTAAACAGCGCTGGAATTTTCTCCGCGAAGTAGGGCGGCTTAAAATAGACGAGGTCAACGCCAGGTCAGAATCGATTGAAGCTGAGCTGACAGTAAACAAAGTGTCGTCTGCTGGCAGAGGAGAGGACATTGGTGGCAGATGGTAGGACATTGGTGGAAGACGGTAGGACATTGGTGGCAGACGGTAGGACATTGGTGGCAGACGGTAGGACATTGGTGGTAGACATAGGACATTGGTGGCAGACGGTAGGACATTGGTGGCAGACGGTAGGACATTGGTGGCAGACGAGAGGACATTGGTGGCAGACGGTAGGACATTGGTGGCAGACGAGAGGACATTGGTGGCAGACGGTAGGACATTGGTGGCAGACGAGAGGACATTGGTGGCAAACGAGAGGACATTGGTGGCAGACGGTAGGACATTGGTGGCAGACGGTAGGACATTGGTGGCAGACGGTAGGACATTGATGGCAGAAGGTAGGACTTTGGTGGCAGATGGTAGGACATTGGTGGCAGACGGTAGGACATTGGTGGCAGACGGTAGGACATTGGTGGCAGACGAGAGGACATTGGTGGCAGACGGTAGGACATTGGTGGCAGACGGTAGGACATTGGTGGCAGACGAGAGGACATTGGTGGCAGACGGTAGGACATTGGTGGCAGAGGGTAGGACATTGGTGGCAGACGGTAGGACATTGGTGGCAGACGGTAGGACATTGGTGGCAGACATAGGACATTGGTGGCAGACGGTAGGACATTGGTGGCAGACGGTAGGACATTGGTGGCAGACGAGAGGACATTGGTGGCAGACGGTAGGACATTGGTGGCAGACGGTAGGACATTGGTGGCAGACGGTAGGACATTGGTGGCAGACGAGAGGACATTGGTGGCATACGGTAGGACATTGGTGGCAGACGGTAGGACATTAGTGGCAGACGGTAGGACATTGATGGCAGAAGGTAGGACTTTGGTGGCAGATGGTAGTACATTGGTGGCAGACGGTAGGACATTGGTGGCAGACGGTAGGACATTGGTGGCAGACGAGAGGACATTGGTGGCAGACGGTAGGACATTGGTGGCAGACGGTAGGACATTGGTGGCAGACGAGAGGACATTGGTGGCAGACGGTAGGACATTGATGGCAGAGGGTAGGACATTGGTGGCAGACGGTAGGACATTGGTGGCAGACGGTAGGACATTGGTGGCAGACGAGAGGACATTGGTGGCAGACGGTAGGAAATTGGTGGCAGAGGGTAGGACATTGGTGGCAGACGGTAGGACATTGGTGGCAGACGGTAGGACATTGGTGGCAGACGCTAGGACATTGGTGGCAAACAGAAAGACAAATAAGTGCTCTACTCTTCCTACCACTAGTCATTATATGCTATCATAAAATGGTATTATTTTATGCTACCAATGGATGTAGCCACTCTATGCTAACAATGGATGTAGCCACTATCAATGGATTTAGCCACTCTATGCTACCAATGGATGTAGCCACTATGCTACCAATGGATGTAGCCACTATGCTACCAATGGATGTAGCCACTCTATGCTACCAATGGATGTAGCCACTATGCTACCTATGGATGTAGCCACTCTATGCTACCAATGGATGTAGCCACTCTATACTACCAATGGATGTATCCACTCTATGCTACCAATGGATGTAGCCACTACCAATGGATGTAGCCACTATCAAAGGATGTAGACACTACCAATGGATGTAGCCACTATGCTACCAATGAGCTCTCACACACCTACCTCGGTACCTTCTGAACAGACGTCTACCACCTCGCCAGACTACTCACCTACACCTGGCCTATCACGTGCATGTCTACTCACCACGCTAGCCATGCCTTAGGTTACTGGCTGAATAAACAAAAACATAAAATGTACAGTCCGCGCAACAGATGTTTACCATAATTTTTTTTATGTTTCCCTATCTCACGTGTCTATTGTTATCCCCATAGAAATAAAAACCTTCAACAAATCACATAAATAATAACCTATGTTGTGTTGTGTTTTCTAAAGCCGCCATAACGACCACATAAATATTAACCACCACTGCTCATAATACATAAATATATGTCATTTTGTGAGGATGGTTTTTCCCAGCTAATTGTACGCCTGCAGAAATTATTTCGCTACCAAACATAAAATAAGATTCAATAATTCCCACTGGGAGCTGGTGAAATAGAAAATATCTGTAATTTCCTCCGTGAGATTTTAAAACGAAATCCTTGACACAGCGGTAGATATAAAATTGTTCTGTTCTATGTTTGGTCCGCGAGAACAATACCATCCTCACACTAAAGAACATGTGATCCAGGTCGCCATGTTGGTGTACAATTATCAGACTGTAATAGAAGCGGTGACTGGGGTTTGAGCGGGTGGGGGGGGGGGGGGGTGGGGGGGAGGAGTGGTGGAATTTCTTCAAGCAAGTGCAATTATATTTTACCATTTTACCAACTGCAGCTACAGATAGGTCAACTGTAAACTGTGTGTCATACCACCATCGATATTTCACCAACTGCAGGTTGTGTTACCGGTAGAAAAACTGTAACTGTGTGCTATACCAACATCGATTAACCGATATACATGGTCCAAAATTACCTTTTGTATCTACAAACAAGTATACTCATAAATAGACACACACACACACACACATATATATATATATATATATATATATATATATATATATATATATATATATATATATATATATATATATATATATAATTGTGTTTTTTATCTGTGTTGATTAGTGTGTGTGTGTGTGTGTATGTATGGGGGGTATATAATCAAAATATTCTGTTCATTATTGTTCGATTAATGATGATTGATTTTTTTGAACTCCCTGATTGAACGCCCTTCTAACTAGTGACTACCCGATACATGTACAGGAGCCGGGCAACGTTGATAGAAAAATTTTTTTAGTTTTTTGCGACGTTAGTTTGTGTTAACATAATTACTCAGTTTTTCACACGAGGAAGCTAATTAGTAATTTTCTTAACTCTCTGCTAATTTAGAATATTGCAGCGAATTTGCCTGCTGGCCAAGTGTACGGGTGAAGTTCTAGACCCGTGGGTGAGAGGCTGTTGGACTTGGTACACGCCGACTGTTGTGGGTCTCAGTAAAGTTCTAGACCCGTGGGTGAGGGGCTGTTGGACTTGGCACACGCCGACTGTTGTGTGAAGTTCTAGACCCATGGGTGAGGGGCTGTTGGACTTGGTACACGCCGACTGTTGTGTGAAGTTCTAGACCCATGGGTGAGGGGCTGTTGGACTTGGTACACGCCGACTGTTGTGTGAAGTTCTAGACCCGTGGGTGAGGGGCTGTTGGACTTGGTACACGCCGACTGTTGTGGTTCTACAGTCTAGGCAGGCCTTCAGGCTATCTTTACGTACTGATCTAGCAGTCTTCTCTTGGTCTTATTTCTCTGCCCTGTTGTTCAAAGTTCAACTTATCCAAAATCTGACAAAAGATTATCGCTAGCACAACTTCCACAACAACCGAACAATCGAAGACAGCAACATAAGGTTGGTTGATATTGCGGTTTTTACTCATAGATATTGGCAAACCTGAATCGTGTTACACTTTTCTAACATAAGCTCGGGACTATTTCTCTCACAACCAACTGCTGGGATGGGGATGGGGGTGGGGTAGAGTTCAAATCTTGTTCCCTCGACCTTATGTGAGCCTGTTTTTGTTAACAGAGTAGGGCTATGAATGCCTAACAACATCAACAGCTAGAATCATCACTGTGCAACTCCACCCCTGTCCACAAACATCACCATCACCATCATCATACACCATCACCATACACCATCACCATCCACCATCACCAGCAAGAAACAAGTGTGTGTAGAGCCGATAATGAAATCACGTGTAAACATGCGAACATCGCGTGACTGGTGCTATCGTCGCTATCGTCTTGTTGAGTGCTTCAGATAGTCATCGCTCCAAACCTTTTACCACCATAGGTCTATATTTAGTAACACGGTTTTGAACGGGAATTCCCCATATTAAATTTGGCAGCTGCTGTAATTTGGGGGATATTTAAAACTTTCAAACTACATCCTGGTCGGCAATGGTGCATCCACTTACTCATTTTCTCGATCTTATTCACTGTGTTCTAGATCATTCCAAACCTGATCTTGATTACACATCACACAATTTAGATTACACATTGCATCTAGAGCTACACATTGCATATAGGGTAACACACGACACAGAGCTACGCATTACATTTATGGTTGATTCTTACACGCATTTGAAAAGTTTTAATGATATTAACAATAACTTCGTATGCCGAGGTCAATAAAACAGAAAAAAACTACTTCCTTTGCCCTAAGGACAGTGTAAAGGTACCTAATTCCTTTAAGTTAATAATAACATTGAAATCGTTCTTTCAGTGTTGTATTTGTTTTATTGCAGCGTTTTCCGTTCTACTGTGGTGTTCAATGAGCGGGTTGGATACAGATATGCCACTGTTCGCATCAGCTCGACAATTTTTTCTGCACGGGTGCATTGCGTGCATACCATAGCCCGACCCTCCCCCTAGTGTAATGTTATGCCTGGCCTCGTCCTGGCGTTGACCCTGTGACGTCATCGCCTGGTGTCAGCATCAGCTTCCAGCCAGCTGTTGGCGTCTTTGACCCGAGCCTGCAGGAATCAACTGGCATCCGTTGTCCGCCGCCTGACCCCTGCCGACAAAGACGTGAAGTGAATCGATATCCCATCACACATTTCACGCGGCCATCCCCACACTCAGCTTTGTAAAGGCCACTCTCCGAGTCTAAATCAGGATATGTGAGCCATTGTTTTCAAAGGTCAAGGTCCTATATACATCGGATACAAGTCGAGTAATTACATTCTTGATTTGAAATATACGATGACAGATGATAGATCAGTAGCTAGACGCACTGTAGAGTTTGAAAAAAAATTGCAGGAGTGACATTTAGAAGTAAACAATACCTACAGTTACTGGTAGATTACTGAGGTTAAACCTGGTCTACCAGTTATATATAGATATGAAGACGGTTCTAGAATGTATTTAGTGCGAGTATGACCCCCAGTACAGCCCACGTACAATCCCAGTACAACCCCCAGTATAGCCAAAGTGCAACCCCCAGTAAGCCCCCAATTCGACCCAACCTCAACTAAAGTAAGACCCCAGTGCAGCCTACATACATCCCTAGTCCAGCCCTCTCGCAACCCCAGTAGACCCGATGTACAGCCCCTTACAGCCAAAGTGCAACCCCTAGTAATCCCAAATTCGACCCAAGTACAAGCCAAGTCTAACCCTAGTAAGCCAAAGTATAACTACATTACAGCCTAGAAAAAGAACACAACATAATATCCTTGATTTCAAAATCCTACCAAACTTCCATGCCTAACGAAATAACTCTTAATGCAATACTTTTCAGGTTAATTTTGAAATACCTACAAATAGAAATAAACCAATCATACTTTCTCCACACAAAAAGTACAAAAATATCTGTTTATGAAACCATGGTAATACGATAACATTACTTTCCCATCTCTCCATTTCCCACTGGACTTAGCTTTAAGAAAAAAAGTTTAAAAATCAAATGTTAAAATCTCGAGCACTTTAGCGCGTGATGTTTACTCGCGCCAAACGAGGTCATCTAACAGCCAGTACTCACAAGTAATAAGGTCGCTGACTTCATCTGTCATTAGCTCTTTTATCTGCCCTTAGTTGACATCTAACGCTCTTTCATCTGTCATTAATTGACATCTAACGCTCCTTCATCGGTCATTGACATCTAACTCTCTTTAATCTGACTCATTAATTGACATCTAACGCTAATTCATCTGTCATTAGCTCTTTCATCTGTCATTAACTGACATCTAACTCTCTTTAATCTGACTCATTAATTGACATTTAACGCTCATTCAGGTGACTCATTAATTGACATTTAACGCTCCCACGAATGTCAACCGTTATACGTCAACATCTCGGATGTCAAGAGAAATTAGCGTGAGCAGCTAGCGTGCACGTGAGCGGCATACACGACAATAAGACAGTTTTTGTAACAGACACGACAATAAGACAGTTTTTTTTGTGACAGACACGACAATAAGACAGTTTTTGTAACAGACATGACAATAAGACAGTTTTTTGTGTCTCAGATTTAAAGTCACCTGAACAACAGATTGTTTACAATGAAGAGATCAAACAGACACACACACACAATGTTAACGTCATACATACGAGTACATAATGATCTCAAACAATAAGAACATATACGACGAACTAACGCATCTTAACAAATACGTACATAAAACCATAATACACAATTTTAGCAAATTACACATAAAACCGTACTACACATATAACCATAATACACAATTTTAGCATATTACACATATAACCATACAACACATATAACCATACTACACAATATAACCATATTACACATATAACAAAACAAACACAACTGACACACATTCAACCAAGAAATACAACAAGCACATCAGCAAGAACATACTAGCAACAAATTTCATGAACAAGAACATACAGAGTAAAAACACGCACACATTTACAACAAAAACACTCAACAAACACACAGACATGTGAATAAATGTACACAAACACACACACACACACACATCCCCCCACAAGCACACAGCAGTAAAACGGATGTAGCATCAATAAACACGCATGCATACAAACACATTTACACAAACACACATACACACACACATTGAAGAGAGTAGACAATGGGTGTTATGGTGGTTTAATCCGCCCCCCCCCCCCCACCCCCTTCCCCGAAATTTTGCAACCGCCACTTTATACATTCATTTACATCCACACAAACTAACACACACACACACACACACACACACACACACACACACACACACACTAGCAAGCTAACTGCGCAGAAGACAATAAATGTTTCATTTTAATCATCCGCGCAAGAATTAGGAACCCACTGCGCATCCTGATGGCGCAGTAATCTGACATCAGGTTCGCTGTGGCCGCCCAGGTTTACATTCGGTATATTTTTATAGGTCTCGCAGACGATAAAAAAGTTAACCTTCAGCAAAATTCGTCAACAGTCCTCCCAGCGGAGGGAAGTAGGGAAGTAGGGAGTAGGGATCGAGACAGAGATGGAAAACAAAAACAGTTGAGAGATCTCCTGAATGTGTGCTGAGGTATAAATCCAGTTCATCTAAACTTTAAACAAAGATGTCCAGTTGTCCAGATGTAAATGTTTGCAATGGAAAGATGTCTTAACAAATAATTTTTAACAAATCCAGGACCTACTTAGGGGTTGTCCATAAATGACGTCACACTCGTATGGGGGGAGGGGGGTCTGTAATTTTGTGACTGTGATGAGGGGGGGGGGGGGGGGTTCAGATGGTGCGACGTCACTTTTTTGCATTATAAAACAGCGATGTTAGAAAAACGCGTTTTAGACGTTATTTCGCGTTTTAGAAAACTGTTTTAATAAATTGTAATAGGAATTGATTAAAATACTCTATTTTGATAGAGTTCAGACAAGATTTAAGAAAAATATCGATGTTTTAAAAAAAAAATTCAACTGCAATTTTGAGGGGGGGGGTGGTTTGCAGAGTTTCTTCCAGGCATCCCCCCGCCCCCCCCACCCCCGGAAGAAAGTCTACCGCCCCCCCCCCCCCGAACGAAATGGAATTTATATAGAAAACATACTTTTATCAGTGTCCGCCCCCCCCCCCCCCCCCGGAAAATGTTGACCACCACCCACCCCCCCCCCCCGGAGAAAAAAGTCTGGAAGAAACACTGGGGGTGTAGGCTGAGTTGTGACGTCAGGTAGTAGAGTTGTAGTCTGTTGACTCGATCTAAGGCTCCAGTGGTACCTGACTAACGTCACGGAGATTACAGGCGGATTGGTATAGAGCTGACCACGCTTCATATGCCGAGGTCACATTAATAAGTGAACTCTACTTCATCTGCCTTAATAACTTTTATTATTCGTTTCCAACGACCACGTTATCAATTGACCACAGAGAACTCATCACGTGTTTTCTAACGACTGTAACACTAATAACTACCTTAGTTCAGAAAACGATGCAACACGATTTTTTAAAAACTTGGCTGCGTCTTTTATAAGTTAATTATAATGTAGAATTAAAGTCTAAAATTAGCAAAGCAGACAGACACGGCACCTACCTCTAGAGCAGCGCCAGGAAGGTGTGGGGGGGGGGGGGGGGGAGTAAATAAACTGACCTGCTGACACCCAGGTGAACCCTGCGCTGTACTAGGTCACAAACATGTTTACGTCGTGTGGGGGGAAAAAAACTGCTCGCTAAGCTCAACACTGCCAGCTCTGGGTTGTTCCACTTCATGCCCGGGGGTGGGGGGGGGGGGGGGGCGTGGTTGTTGTTTTTACACCTGCTGACCTCGGCGTACTACCGCTGGACATTACACACGTGCTCACCTAGAGACTCAGGCCTTATTCAGTACCTGGCAGTAATTGGGTGTTGGTGGGAGGGGTTGTCGTGTCAGGTTCATTTTAAATAACGTGTGTAATATGAAATGTCCAAGTTCATTAACGGCGTGCAGTGGCTCAGTCAGCTTTAGTCTTTAACCATCTTTATATGTGGGGTCGTATGTTCAAGTCGGATGACACCAATTTAAAATGTTTACATTGGGGTCGTATGTTCAAGTCGGATGACACCAATTTAACATGTTTACATTCTATAAACGGTTGACTGTTCTTGGATTAGTTTTAAGTTCAAAGTCCAGTAAAGCATGGGACAATTCTACGTGCTATAGACAAAATGGCGAGCGATTGTAGTTCATCACCCTAATCACGCTTGTCTAAAAAAAAAATGTGAGCAAAATTTTCCGCTACAGTTTTTAGACACAAACAATAAAGGATTTTAAATCCGCTACAATAATTTTAAAGCTGTTCGCTAGTTAGTTTAAAAAATAGAAATTAATGTAAGACTCGTTAATGCTATGAACTAATCCGCGACATTTTACGTCACCATCCTCTCCATTTTATGTCACCATCCTCACCATTTCATGTCACCATCCTCACCATTTCATGTCACCATCCTCACCATTTCATGTCACCATCCGCACCATTTCACGTC